AGCTACATATATTATAAAAGACCTCTGGAAAAAATGGAAGACTATGTCAAAGCGTGCAGGCAAGGCAATGAAGGGTAGGGGAGCAGTATTGTTGATGGCTGCATATACTTGCTTCTGGTATTACTATTTTGTTTGTTATTGGGTTTGCATTTGATTACTGATGTGTATAACATTAATGTTATATATATGTGCTTGGCTTGCAGCTTTTTTTGGTGAGCATTTTAACCTCAACATACCTATTGGCTGATAGTCCACTATTGCAATTGAATACTGGACTGATGAGAAGATAAAAGAATTGGCCAGCAAGGAGAGAAAGAGTGTTAGGGGAATTATGTATGGGAAAAGGCAGTGAAGCTGTGATGAGGAAAGAAGAGAGGATAATTGTAAAGTTTTTGGACTCGGTATGTGGTATAATTAGTAAACTAAAGTTTTTATTTGGTAACCTAAACTTCTTATCTGCCATAGTTATGTTGTCATTTCCTATACTGAAGTTGTGATTTGCTATAGTGAAATAGAGCTTTGTCATTGTTCAGTTGTAATTTGGCAAACTCAAGTTGTTATTCACTATACTTATGTTGTGATTCGCCATATTGAATTTGTCATTTGGTATACTGAGATTATGAACCTGTCATTTGCCATTGTGAACCTGCCAGTTGCCTGACCTGAGTTGTGATTTGGTTTACTGAACTTGTCATTTGGTATAATGAATTTGTCATTTGACATAGTGAACCTATCATTTGCCATACCTCACTTGTTATTTGGTTAACTAAAGTTGTCATTCTCTATAGTAAACTTGTCATTTGCTATACATGAGTTGTGATTCGTTTACTAAAGTTGTCATTCAATATAATGAACTTGTTATCTGTCATAGTGAATGTGTCATTTCTCATAGTGAACTTGTTATTCTATATACTTAATTGACAAATGTCTTTTGCATGCAGAAGCTGAAGAAGTTACATGAGCACCTAATAAAGAGGATAGAGGAAGGGCAAAAGATGCTGATGAAAATAGGGAACGAGGAAGGTGGGAAGGGTAAATCAAGAGGAAAGACTCAAGTTGAGACAGTGCCTACAAATATCAGTGAGTCTAAAGATAATGAGGAGAACAGCACAACAATGATGACACAACTAAGGAAAAGGAGAAGGATGAAAGAGGCAGTACAGATGGAGATAGTCATGGGAAGGGTGACATGGAGGATCACAATGAGAATGAAGAGAGGGATGAAGAGGGTCAAGGGGATGGTGATGACATGAGTAAAGGGGATAGGGAACATAAGGGTGATAGGGAGGGTGATGACAAGTAACATTTGTAATATAGAGTACAATACCCACAACTAGTTTCCCCATAGAAGTGCCACCCAATTTTGAAGGTTACGATAGGGAAGGTGACATACTCATAGCCAGTTCCCCTATAGAAGTGCTAGGCAGCGTTGTAGGTGATGATGCAGAGGGTGACATACCTGCAGCCAGTTTCCCCAAGGAAGTGTCACACCCACATTGAAGGTGTGATGCAAAGGGTGACATACCGATGGAGGTAACCCCCTGGACCATTGTTGAATATGTTGAGCTGATCCACAACCTGTATCTGTGCAGCCACAACAACTAAGGAGATCTACTAGGGTTCGATTCAGCAGGATCAAGTCTCCTTGGTTGGAGTTGAAGGCACAATTGAGAGGGAAAGGGCCTATAGAGCCTAAGGTTTTTTTTTTAACTTAGTCAGTCGAGTTGTCAAAGGTGATGAGGGTGAGATGTAAGTGAAAATCTTAGCTTATGTGATGTTATTTGTTGACTACATGTTAACATAACACATCTAGTAACTCACTTGAATATGTTTCAGTCCTTTGATCATAATGTTTGATGAAGACATCCCCTGATAATTGTTGCATTCACATGGTAGAAATAAAAGTTGAGTAACTAGGTGAAGCCATTAGTCCGTAAGGCTTTGGTGCAAGAGCAGCAGGCAATTGAAAGGCAAGTTAGGAGGCATATATTTGATGCAAACTTCATGGTGAGGTTTCTGTATTACTAATGTACTTTGTTTATTTACAAGTTTGCAAATGGAAATGACAGAATAAAGTGTGTTATAGTGAATAACAACTTGGTTTTGTGCATTTGACAGGCCATAATGATCCGTGATCTAGCTCGTTGGGATCCTAACTAGCATGCATGACAAATACTTCTACATTACGTTGGGTACAATATAGGTGACTGCAACTTGATTCTGGGTCCTACTCTAGTTGGGGAGCATTGGTTTTGTTTTGCTTTCGAACCAAAGACCCATAAGTTCAATGTCCTCGATATACAAGCAAGTTTAGAGCGTAAGAAAGACCACCTCTAAGCAGAAGAAGACAGCCACATATGACCCTCAAGAATTGGCCATCACAGGGTGTAAGACGTTCCTCACCTGTGCATGTTAGATAGGGAAACGGCTTTTATATTATTATCCTTTTGATGAATATGCATATGTGCAAAGGAATCGGTTTGAAAACATACTTTGGATGGTCAAACCAGATTTGATTGATAAGTTAGAAATTATTGGGCCTAATATACCATAGCAAAATAATTTGTGAGTATATAAACCCTACTCATGTGATATGTTGTTTGGCTGTGTTGGTTTAAGGAGCTGAAATTGTTAGGGTGGTGTTGTGGGCAAGAGGGACTGCGATGTGCATGTGCTTATATGGCTTAAGAAATGGGAGCCTAATATTCCCCTTCAATACAATGAGGTAATGACATGACCTTATTTATTGTGCAATCAACAGTGACCATCTGTGACTTATTGGGCGGTAAACTTGCTGTGCAGGCTGATGTGTCCTCTTTTTGGCGCGAGTTGATGTAGTGGCTAGTGAACCATGATGACAATGAATGCTATCAGAATGCATACGATCTTATCTCACAACCAGAGAAGGGCCAAATGACCAAGAAAAGGAGAACGCCTTTGTAGAAAGCATTTAAATTAGGCTGTGTGACTTTTACTAACTTTACTAATAGATTCATTTGTTGAAATTGTATGCTAATTATTATAATGGTTATGATATGGTTGGATTGCTGCTATAATAGTACTTACATTTGGAATGACAAATTTTCCTTTAGTTAGGCCAATCTCAAGTTTACTAGGTCCAACGACAAGTTCACTACGGGCTATGACAACTTATGATAAGGCTTTCATACAGATTTGAGATTCTCTATTAAAAATGGCTCAATTTGTACATTGATTCACTGAATGACAGTTGATAAAGGAAAATGACAAGTTCACAATAGCAAATGACTAGTGTTCAAAACGTTTTCATGCAATGGTAAATTTTTGTTGAAATGACGGCATTTCCACTTCTGATAAACACGAAATTACAACTCCACTAAGGAAAATACCAAGTTCACAAAGAAAAATGACAAGTTCTCATAAGGTTTTCATGAAACGGTAAATTTACTGGATTTCCACTTCTTATAAACATTAAATTACAACTCCACTAAGGAAAATGACAAGTTCCCATAAGGTTTTCATGAAACGGTAAATTTCTATTAGAATGACTGGATTTCCACTTCTGACAAATACGAAATTACAACTTCATAAAGGCAAATGACAAGTTCACTATGCAAATAACAAGTTCCCATAAGATTTTCATACATTTTCATAAATTTCTGTTGAAATGACTGGATTTCCACTTCTGACAAACAAGAAATTACAACTTCATAATGGTAAATGCCAAGTTCACAATGGTAAATGACAAGTTCCCATAAGGTTTTCATACATTTTCTTATTTTCTCTACTGGAATTACACTTTGCACATTCCTGATGGCAACCACTTCTGATAAACATGAAATTACAACTTGACAACAAAAAATGACAAGTTTATTATGCCAAATGAAAGTTCCGATAAGGATTACATACAATTTCATACTTTTCTGCTAGAGTTACACTTTGCACATTTCTAATAGCAATCACTCCTAATAAACATGAAATTACAAGTTCACAATAGCGAATGACAACTTAAGTATGCAAAATAACAAGATCCCATAACATTTTCATACAATTTTGATAGCAACCACTTCTGATAAACAGTAAATGACAAGTTCAGATTTCTTTGACAGTAACAAGTTTTTTACAACATTCAATGATAAGTGCACATTAACTTGCATCTTCCACTTAATGTCCCTTTGTCACCAAACATAGAACTAACAAAAAATATATGTGCACATCTACCAATACCCTGCTCCCAAAATATTAAGAAGGGTAGACCCTATATGTGCTAAAAAAAAATTAGTTGTCCCATTTGCAAGTTGAAGTTAACCTAGGTTAGGAGTTTTACATGTCCTCTTTGTATGTCCAGGACGAAGACATCTAGTACAATGATATATTTTTTTGTTCTGAAATTGTGATTCCTTTCTGTTTCTTCTTAGTCTTCTAGGAGGCCTAGTAGTGATTGGGGTTAAAAGTAAGGTTTGGGCAGTAAGATTCTCAAACCCATAGTCATTCAGGTCAAGCATATCAATTGTCATCACTAGAATCATACCCCGGGCATAGATTTTCTCTTAGGATGAACGTTTGTAACACTCTTCAACATAATCATAAATATTGCCCCTTATGGTCTTAATGGCTACACAAGCATATGAGTATGGAATCCCTAACATTTGCCAAGCTCCACAGCTGTATTGGTATAGGCCAAGGTCCACTCTTTGGTCTCCACGTGATATGTACACGCATATTCTTCCCCCTCCATAATTCTCACAGTACATTTACCTGTTGAAATACACATGCTCCAACACTTTTGCCTCTATTTCTGGCGCAACACAATTACTCCACCTAGTCATTGCTGCATATGATTCATGCATTTTCCTTGCTACTTTCTCCCAGTGCTCATGGATCATTTCGGCCACGTTATGCTTCCTCTCCCTTACCATCCAAGCATTAAAAGATTCAATTAAACTAGTTGTTATGTTGTTCCACCTTCTATATGGGAACTTGTTTAATGCACACTTATCCACATCATCTTGATTGATAACTCAATCATATAACTCACGAGACATGGTTATGAGCTCATACAGGGCGTGATCAGACTCATCTGCAAGTCTTGCATAAGCCACTTTATCTAATGCATCTTCCTTTGAATTTTCACTTGTCCTTCTCCGACCTTTATTTAATTTCATATATTCAGAGCTAAAGTTCTCCTTGACATGCCTATAACAGTATGCATGTTTTTCACCCTCAAATATTGCTTGCAAAGCTCTAATTATGGAATTATGTCTGTCTAACACAATAGTCAATTGCATTGAACCAACTATTTGTTTAATCTTGTGAAAAAACCACGTCCAGTCCTCAAGATTCTCTCCCTTCACCATTGCTATTGCAAATGGCAACATCTCATTATACGTATCATATGCCGAAGCTAACAGTAACATCCCCTTATATGGACCACTTAAATGGATACCATCAACATATAATGTAGGCCTTGCACCGTTCAAAAAACCCTCAACACATGCACCATATACAATGAACACACGCTCAAATCTATTACCATTGTAGGCCCATTCAGCAACCTTTTTGTCATCAGTTTCCTTCAATATTTCACATAACTATGGTATTAACATATAGGACTATTCTGGTTTCCCATGTATTTCTTCTATTGCCTTTTCCTTTGCTCTATAGGCCTGACAATATGTAAACCTCACACCATACTCCCTCTCCAACATCTTTCTTATTTCAGTGGGCTGTTTTTCAGCATAGTCCCTTATCTCTTCAACTATTACTGATGATTTCAACACAGTATTTCCATCATAAGTCACAATCATATTGTCTTGTGCTGAATGAATGTGCTCATTACAAAATGTAGTCACACGTAATAAATGATTGTTCTTTCCAACAGCATTTGCACATATCTTCCAAGAACACCCTTCTACTTTACACCTCACATTCATCTTCTCCTTACTATTCCTGACATATCTTACTACAAACTTCTCTACAATACTGAACATGTACACAGCTTCCCTAAAGGCAACAACATGTGAAACATATTGGCCCACTCCTATAAACACTCCTGCCCATTTCATACAATTCATCTCGCCCATCAGTGTTTCCTAACTCTTTAAACCACTACATTTGCCTTTTTGACTTGATCTACCCCCTTCAAAAGTCAGGCATTCAACTCCATTCTCAACATTCACTGGCTCATGTTCATCACCAATAGTCATTTCAAATGCATTCATATATTGTGAAAGTCCCAATAAATTCTCACTCCTACCACCATAATACCAAGTTAGGACGCCTATATTTAAATGACAGGTTTGATTATCATAGCAACAACTACATTAATGAAAATGACAACTTCAGTTACGAATATAACTCGTTCACATATAGCAATTACAATATTAGTAAGTGAAATGACAGCTCTAGATATGGAAACTCCTCCTTTATAAAATAACATGTTTGTATATCTAAATAACAAGTCCACATATGGTTATTACCACTTTAGTAACTAAAATAACAAGTTTACATATACAAACTAATGGTTGCTAAAATAACAAGTCCACATGTGGTAATTACAACTTAAGTTACCCACATATCAAGTTTCTATACAGAAACTATTGGTTAGTAAAACAACGTCTATAGATCCAAATAATAAGTCCATATATGATAATTACAACTTTAGTATATGAAATAACAAGTCTACATATGGAAACCACTACTTATGTCTAATAACAAGTTTGTATTTCTAAAAGACAAGTTTATAAGTGGAAATGACATGTCAACTATGTTGAATAACAAGTTTGCATTTACAAATTACAACTTAGGACTGCAACACCATTCGCTTGGTTACAACATTTCTGTATGCATTAGCAACAATATATTAGTAAATAACAAGATTCAATTCTAAAACAAAACCACTTACATGTTTGGATCATTCCTCACTCTAGGTTCCTTGTCATTCCCTTTCCTTCCTATATACACATGAGCACTGCTGTCATTATATCTAAACAAGTTGCAGATATCACCATCATCACAAAGATTAATCAATGTATTCTCATCAAATTTGACTTTATACTTAATCTCATATTTACTACCATTATTGCCTATCCATTGTGATATTATTCCACACAACTCGTCTACTATTATCCATTCTTTTATACTGGTTACCCTTACACTCCCTCCAATATATTTAACTATCCCTTCACAATTTGCTTCAAAATGTCCACCAACGTGCACCTAACAGAACAATTCCTTCTCACAACTTCTTCCGTTATTGAAATTCATTTTTTATACTAATCTGTAGCAAAAATTTATGTTTAGTCAATAAATCAGCTTCACTAATAAATATTTACACATTTATGCCATCAACTCAATCATTTACATACCAAAATAAAAACCTGCGACCTCTTGTCTTCCCAACTTCACTTTAGGGCTTCACAACTTCACTCTAAGGCTTCACAATTTCAACACCCAAAATCACGACATCCTTATTTCCTGCTTCCGCGGCAACACCTGAACCTTTACACTCAAACTAATGGCTATTATCCCGCCCACACTCTGCTAAACCGCTATACTCCTAGCCCTTCCCTATTGCCACTAACACCATGCACTGCAAATGAGAGATGGCCAATCACACTAAAAAAACAAAAATATCCCACCTCCAACTAACCACAACCTTCTATATTGTGATATTTTTCATCTTTAACTACACCTCCCATTCCCTCCCTTCCTCTGGCCTACCCACCCACACAACAAAGATAAAGATGAAGAATATCACAATGCGCAACTCTTATAGGGAAGAATAGAAGAAGAGTTTAGTTAGTAAGTTACTCGCTTCATTGCCAATGTTGGAAGATCTTCCATCCCAATATCACACACATGTTGGGTCTTCCTTCTCTAGTAGCTCTCTCGCCACATAAAATTCCTTGTCTCTACCTTCATTAAGAGTCAGGATGGTTGAGGGCATTTCAGACATTTAACCCACATTTCATATTTGCAATTTGGGACCGGGTCCTCTGCAGCTATTTTCCAAATTCAAGGTCCCTAATTACTATTTTATATATTGGGGGTCTTTATTTGTAATTTTTCCTATAAATTTTGAGGTTATTTTATGATATTTTTCCTAATTAATTGTGTTATTAGAACTTTTGGTTGCAAAAAAGTAATTAATTATAGCCCCGACAATACACAATCATAAAGAAGCGCAAAGCATAAGGGTGGAAATAAGCCACACCCTTATTAGGCATCTTATGGCCTAACCTGGTTATTAACAAAGAAGCTAGGCTCAAGCTTTTTGAAAGGCCTACATGTTTAAACAGTTTTGGCCTATTTTGTTAAGACCTGGCCTATAAGCCTACAAGCCTCACTTGTTTAAGTTTATTCTAATATATAAATGTACAAATATTATTTAGTTAAGAAATATTTTAATTAATACGAGATAAGTTATTACCTATTAAACTGATTGTGTGTTTGGTTCAACTGAAGGGAGAGATTTTGATGGAGGGGAAAGAAAAGGAGGGATTTTAATGTTACCTTGTTTAGTTTGCGAGGAGAGGAGAGAAATTTTTATCTAGACAACTTTACCCTTATTTTATTTTTATATGATAAAATATTTTGGGGTTAATATAATATTTGGTCCCTCACATTTGCTTTCATTTTGGTTTTAATCTATCAAATTTCAAACCATAGATTTTGGTCCCTCTAGGGGTAAAATGGTCCAAGTTTTTAGTGAGTTATAGGGACCAATGTTTTAAATATAAAGAAACTTAAGGAATCAAAACCTATGATTTAAAACATGAGGGACCAAAACCAAAATGAAAACAAATTTGAGAGGGCAAAGTTTGTATTAGCCCAAATATTTTTGTTTGCATTTTTCATATTTATATCAAAATTATTATTTTTTAAATTTCTAAATTTCAAAAACCTATTATCTCACTTATACATAACAAAGTAATTTTCATTGTATTTTAAAAGATGATTTTATTAATTTTAATCTGCCATCTCATTAATTTTAATATGCTTTTTAAAATATTTTATCTTCGAGATTGTAAAATTAGAAAATAGAGTTAAAAATAATTTTTGATGTTTATTGACCAGCAAATTCCATTACAAAGCATCAGGTATTTAAGTGCATGACTAACAAAACAAGTGACATGCGGGAGCACATTCTATGCTTATTGCACTGATGAGTACTCATTACATTTTGGACTATTCAAATTGATTAATTTTGGATGATTCAGATTAAATTTATATTTTTTATGGATTTTAATTAATTTTTTTAATAAATATATAATTCATAATAGTAATATTATAATTAACATGTTTTTAAAAAATGAAATTATTATTAAAAAAATTACATATTAGAAATTTTAAATCTGAACTACTCTTCCGGTCCTAATTATAAGACCCAATTGACTTATTTGAGGAGATTAAGAAAGTAAGTTAAGTTGGTTATTTATAATAAATAAGTGTTGTCATTCCTAAAATATTCTTGCTACTTAAGTATATTGGCTAAAACTATCATTATTAGAAGAATTATCTTAGAAAAAAATGCATAAATATAAGAGACAAAATAGATTGGGGTCTTATAATTAGGACCAAATAAAAAGTTAAATGGGTCTTATAATAAGGACGAGAGGAGTATTATACTGTGATAAATGTCGGGTGAGGGTCGTGGACAAACATATGGAAATGAATCGGACAAAGAAGAGAAAGTTTTAAGCACGGGCAAGTTTGTCACATTATTGAACAAAGGTCCCCTCCCCTCCCCTGCCCTTCTCTCAACCAAATGCACTTTAACCCGACAATACATCGCAAAGAGGAGGCGAAGCGGATACATTTTTCTTCGTCCGCGAACCAGCATTCCACACGCAGCTGGACGCTGTCCTCCGTTGTCAGCCTTGTATGGTTGTTCTCGAGCAAGTGAGGAAGAAGGTTCGTAGCCCCGGCTTTGTCTACTCCCAAAATCCGGTGAGATTGATCTGTTCAAATCTGGCTCTGAATCTAGATTTCAATTTGTTCCTCGCGCCATTTGTTGCCTGCTTGGTTGTTTTTTATTTCATATTAATTTGGCTTTGAATCTGGTTGTGTCATGGTTTTAATATTGACACTTTTGAATTTGGGAATATCTACAGATTGAGTTTAGTTTTTTTTTCCCGCTACTAATGCTTGATTGAATGGCGTCTAATTGGGTCTTATACTTCTGCCATCTGCACTTTCATTTCTAGTGATTTGTTTGCTTTGGATTGTGTTGTTGTGCAATGTTGGGTTTGTTGTGTATTGGCATTATGTTGTGGTATTGTAAATGACTTGGCCCCAGTTGTGTCAAAGTATCTGGAACAAAAAGTAAAAGGGCATTATATCAACCATATATATTTAAAGATTTCAGTGTCGGCAGTTGGCGCTGCTGAGTGTAATATAGGTCTGCCTACTTTTAGACTTCGTGTTCTTGGATTCCCATCCTTGTGTTCTTAATTTATTTTCGCTTGCTACAATTGCTAGCATTCATGCTCAAGTTTTCTCTCTTCCTATCTGCTATTTTTATTGAATATTAAGTGTTGTGTTTGCCTATAAATGACTTTGAACTAGATGTTTCTGAAATTTATTCAAATTAATCATTATTGGCTTGAATAAATGTGTATCTGAGTAGTATCATACTTCATACGGCTTATAGAGCACACTTTTTTTATTTTGATTTCTTAGGCATTGATATTAAAGGCTGTGTTGCTTGTAATCAAGGATCTTTTGGTTTAATGATTTGATTTTTGTCGATGGGGAACTAAACCAAATCAAACTTCAATCTCTGACTATCTTGGCAGACATGTTTTATTGGAGGCCGTGTCTTCTCTTTATCTGATTGTTAAACTCAAACAGCCAAATATTGGTATTTTGAATGATGAAGGAGAGCTTGTCATTGGAACAACCTGTTCGTTTTGTCCATTGCGGATGGGATGGTTGATGTTAAGGACGCCTTCTTCTATCTTTTATTTCATGATTATAGTGATGGGGGTGGAGTGGAATATTATCTGCTGGAGATTCAGTATGAATATGAATTTCACTATTATGAGCTTCTATTTGAAGTTGTATTCATGGGAGACAATTG